ATTTATATGATCTCTATGATTTATATAATCTCTATGATTCATGTAATCTCTATTATTTATATAATCTCTATGATTTATATCATCTCTATGATTAATATGGTCTTGATCTCCATGAAATCTATGATCTGTAAGATCTCCATGATCTGTATGATCTGTATGATCTGTATGGTCTCTATGAGCTCTCTGATTTCTATGATCTGTATGAACTTTATTATATCTATGATCTGTTTGATCTCTCTGATCTCTATGATCTCTATGATCTCTGTTATCTCTATGATCTCTATAATCTCTATGATCTCTATGATCTCTACGATCTATGTTATCTCTATGATCTCTATGATCTCTATGATCTTTATGGTATAAACTATCTTGTTTACAATACAATAGAAACCACTGCAGTTCCTGGGGATAATTTACTCTAAAGGGTGTCCTAGATAATATGCTATTCCTACAGGGTGTCTTAGATTATATGCTATTTCTACTGGGTGTGCTATATTATATGCTATTTCTAGAGGGCGTCCTTGATAACATGCTGTTTCTATTGGGTGTCCTTGATAACATGCTGTTTCTATTGGGTGTCCTTGATAACATGCTGTTTCTATTGGGTGTCCTTGATAACATGCTGTTTCTACTGGGTGTCCTAGATAATATGCTATTCTACTGTGTGTTCTAGATAATATGCTATTCTACATGGTGTCCCAGATAGTATGCTATTTTTACAGGGTGTCCTAGATAGTATGTTATATCTATGGGGTTTCCTAGATAATTTGCTGTTTCTACAGGGTGTCCTAGATAATATGCTATTTCTACAGGGATTCCTTGCTCATAGAAATAAAACAAAAATTGTTATTAACAACATTTTAAATTCTAAGATCTGGACTGTAGTCTCAGATTCCCTCTTTATCTCTCTCCCTGGTAACAATATTTCTGTAAAAATCGAATTTTCTATGATTTCTAAGATTCCCTTATATGCAATACAAACAAATACGGTATGCATGCATCAAATCAAAATCCTTTTACTAAAATTAGAACTTCAAGAATAGTTCTGGAAGGTTTAGAGGTTAGTTTTGACGAGACAAATGTTTAATGTTTAAAGTTTAACTTTAGATTTACTTTATTCTTTTCACAGTGCTTAGTACAGACTAAACAGACCAGACAAATCAAGAACGATTGATTTAAAGGGTTACCCACAAAGGATTGGGTTCGGCGACGACTGTCCGGATTTTTTCAGTATTTTTGCATGCATTAATGGTTCAATGTTCTGTTAACTTTTATCTTTTTTGTCAAATTCTTTAGCTTAACTCTTGCAAAATATAATTTCATGCCAAGAATCAAATTTGACTTTTAAATCACCATATTTAAAGGGTTTCAGATCTTTATTAAAGTATCATCCTTTGTGGAGTGTAGTTCCGGTTCTTGCATGCATAACAACATCTTAGTAAACAATGAGTAAACTTCAAAGTAAAATATCTGATGTAATTGTAGATACAACATCTCATTACTTATCCTTAAAATCCATGTAACGATTATTTTATATATACATTACACATTATTGACATATTTGCATAACAATGATATTTAGTAATAGTATGTTTAAAGGTTGGTTACTGTTATAAAGCAATAAACTATTGTTTAAAGGATGGTTACTGTTCAAAAGCAACACACTATTGTTTAAAGGATGGTTACTGTTATAAAGCAATAAACTATTGTTTAAAGGTTGGTTACTGTTATAAAGCAATAAACCATGTTTAAAGGTTGGTTACTGATAAAAAGCAACACACTATTGTTTAAAGGATGGTTACTGTTATAGAGCAATAAACTATTGTTTAAAGGTTGGTTATTGTTATAAAGCAATAAACCATGTTTAAAGGTTGGTTGCTAATATAAAGCAATAAACCATGTTTAAAGGTTGGTTACTGATAAAAAACAATAAACTATTGTTTAAAGGTTGGTTACTGTTATAAAGCCATAAACTATAGTTTAAAAGATGATTACTGCTATAAAGCAATAAACTATTGTTTAAAGGTTGGTTACTGTTATAAAGCAATACACTTTGTTTAAAGGTTGGTTACCATTATAAAGCAATAAACTTTGTTTAAAGGATGGTTACTGTTATATAACAATAAACTTTGTTTAAAGGTTTGTTACTGTTCTAAAGCAATGAACTTTACTTAAAGGATGGTTACTGTTATAAAGCAATAAATTATTGTTTAAAAGATGGTTACTGTTATAAAGCAATACACTATTGTTTAAAGGTTGGTTACGGTTATAAAGCAATAAACTATTGTTTAAAGATTGGTTACTGTTATAAAGCAATAAACTATGTTTAAAAATGATTATTGTTTAAAAGCAATACACTATTGTTTAAAGGTTGGTTACGGTTATAAAGCAATAAACTTTTGTTTAAAGGTTGGTTACTTTTATACAGCAATAAACTATGTTTAAAAGATGGTTACTGTTATAAAGCAATACACTATTGTTTAAAGGTTGGTTACGGTTATAAAGCAATAAACTATTGTTTAAAGGTTGGTTACTGTTATAGAGCAATAAACTATTGTTTAAAGGTTGGTTACTGTTATAAAGCAATTAACTATTGTTTAAAGGTTGGCTACTGTTATAAAGCAATAAACTATTGTTTAAAAGATGATTACTGCTATAAAACAATACACTGTTATAAAGCAGTAAACTATGTCTAAAAGATGGTTATTGTTATAAAGCAATGCGCTTTGTTTAAAAGTTGGTTACGGTTATAAAGCAATAATCTAAGTTTAAAGGCAGGTTACTGTGATAAAGAAATATGTACACCATCGTTTAAAGGCTGGTTACTGTTATAAAGCAATACAATATGTTTGTAGGGTACTGGGTACTGATATAAAATAATAAACTATTGTTGGTTATTGTTATAAAGCAATAAACAATATTTAAAGATTGGCTACTGTTATAAAGCAATAAGTTATGTTAAAAGGTTGGTTTCTGTTATAAAAGCAATTAATATGTTTTAAGGTTGGTTACTGTTTTAAACAATACAATTTGTTTCAAGGTTGGCTACTGTTTTAAAGCAATACACGTTGTTTAAAGGATTGCTACCGTTTAAAAGCAATAAACCATGTTTAAAGGTTGGTTACTATTATAAAGCAATAAACTAGGTTTAAAGGTTGGTTTCTCTTATAAAAGAAATAAACTATGTTTAAAGGTTTGTTACTGTTATGAAGCGATACAGTATTGTTTAAAGGCTGGTTATTGTTATAAAGCAATAAACTATTGTCTTCATGTTGGTTTATGGTTTCTGTTTTAAAGCAATAAACCATGTTTAAAGGTTGGTTACTGTTACAAAGCAATATACTATGTTTAAAGGTTGGTTACTGTTATAAAGCAATACCCTATTGTTTAAAGACTGGTTACTGTTATAAAGCAACACACTTTGTTTAAGTGCAGGGTATTGTTTAAAAGAAATAAATCATGTTTAAAGGTTTGTTACTGTTATAAAGTAATACACTATTTTTAAAGGCTGGTTACCGCTATAAAGCAATTAACTATGATTAAAGGTGTGTTACTGATATAAAGCAAAAAACCATGTTTAAAGGATTGCTACCGTTTAAAAGCAAAAAACAATGTTCAAAGGTTGGTTACTATTATAAAAGAAATAAACTATGTGTAAGGGTTTGTTACTGTTATAAAGCAATACAGTATTGTTTAAAGGCTGGTTATTGTTATAAAACAATAAAATTTGGTTTTCATGGTGGTTACTGTTTAAAGCAATAAACCATGTTTAAAGCTTAGTTACTGTTATAGAGCAATATACTATGTTTAAAGGTTGGTTACTGTTATAGAGCAATATACTATGTTTAAAGGTTAGTTACTGTTATGGAGCAATATACTATGTTTAAAGGTTGGTTACTGTTATAAAGCAATACACTTTGTTTAAGTGCAGGGTAATGTTTAAAAAAAAATAAACAATGTTTAAAGGTTTGTTACTGTTATAAAGTAATGCACTATCTTTAAAGGCTGGTTACCGCTATAAAGCAATTGACTATGTTAAAAGGTGGTTACTGATATAAAGCAAAAAACCATGTTTAAAGGTTGGTTACTGATATAAAGCAAAATACCATGTTTAAAGGTTGGTTTTTGATATAAAGGAATAAACCTTGTTTAAAGGTTGGTTACTGTGATAAAGCAATTCACCATGTTTAAAGGTGGTTACTGATATAAAGCAAAAAACCATGTTTAAAGGTTGGTTACTGATATAAAGGAATAAACCATGTTTAAAGGTTGGTTACTGATATAAAGGAATAAACCATGTTTAAAGGTGGTTACTGATATAAAGCAATACACCATGCTTGAAGGGGGGGGGGGGGCTACTTTTAAAATGCAATACATCAAAAAAAATTAAAGAGGTTTAACATTTTCAATGACTTTTAAAAAAATGTAAAGAACATTGATATGCCATAAGTCAAAAGGGAATTTGGAGTGTCTAAAAGTTTTTTATTTGAATTGAATGTTAGAATTAGCTATCTCCCGTTCTCCCCTCAAAAAGGCAATATATGTTATTTACTTTTACATTACTGCTGTATATATTTAACTGCACAGTGTACAGTTTTCTTACCGTACAGTAAACTTGTATAACATTAACAGCTAGGTTTAATTGTTGCGGAGTATTCCTCTAACCGGTGGTTCAGAGGCCAGAGTCCGCTTAGAGACCTGTAGAGGTCGAACTATCAACAGGGGCCGGTAACTAAAACCATTGTAGCGACTCTGATTGGCTGTTTGAACCGTGACAGTACAACTATATTTCTAAAGCCAGGTCTAATCCACAGGAGCTCTAGGTTTCTTTCAAAGGCTGGTACGACCGGTGGGTAATTATTGAGGCCGGAACGGTACTTGTAGAGGCCGGGTTGGTACTTGTAGAGGCCGAGCCGGTACTTGTAGAGGCCTAATGAATGTTATCAACAACGTATATAATCCCTAGATGGTTTACTAGTTGCCATTCAGGCACTTGTAGACTAACCAACAGTATCCAACCAGGCACTTGTAGAAAATCTACGAAAACAAGTTGACCAACTCTCAATAATCTACAGAAGAACACTATAACTTTTCTATAAAGTTTGTAATATCAAGTCATTCAAATCAACCTCAAGGTAAGTGGATCAAATAATTGTTGTGTTGTTTTTTAATGTTAAATCACAAAAACAAACAAAACATACACACACAATGTATTTACGGGTTAAGGGAGTATTTAGATATTTGAGAGCAGGGCTGTTGTACCAATTTTTGAAAAGTGATTTCCCTTAAAGTATAAATTGAAAAATTAGTTGTAAATTTTAGAAATCATAATTGTGTTAATTAATACTGAAAATTTGATAAAGGAGCTTGAAAATTATTTTTAAATGCTATTTTTTGATAACCTTTGATTGTAAAAAAAATGTCTAATTAGAGTAATTATTCAAGTGAGCTAAGTAAAATTGAAAAGTCTTTTTCAAACATTTAATACGCTATAGCTTCGTACAGGAACTGTAAGCGTAATTTCAAGAGTGACCCTCCATGCAGAGACGGCAATACCCTTGAAACCTTAATCTGATCAAAAATGTTTATTTCTGTAAGTTTCTTCATTGCTTTTTATTAACAAGAAATCCGAAAGTAAAATTCGCAAAGAAGTTTTCAATGAAAATAAGCAGTTATAGAAACAAAAACATTGATCATACTTTACCAGACAAAGGTTTCAAGGGTACCGTTGTAAATCGGGCATTGCCATCTTTGTATGGAAGGTCACTTGAAATTATGCTTACACAGTCAATTTAAAGAACAATATCTAAAGAATTTCTAAACTCCGGTAAAATTCACATTTCACGCAAAATTTCTTCTGCATGGCAAAAATATATTTATATTCACAAAACAAAACAAACAAAATTAACTAAAATATTTAGCTAAATTCTTAGATTTATGAAAATATTTTAAATCATCATTTACATTTACATTCAAGTTTCAATTCTAAACATAAGAATAAATGGAGCACAAACTCAATTTTCTAATCCCTTTATTTTTGTATTCTGATGGTTCAAACTTAAATTTATGATTTAACAGAATTTATAGTTTAAAATATCAAAGGTCTGTAACTTTTGTTTTCAAATGTGTAGAGATTAGAAAATCAAAGAGTATGGCAAAGATTCAATTCTTTTTGGAATGTCCATTTTTATATATGAAAAATCTGTTAATTTCTTTAAAAATTTAAGGACTTATTTTTTAAAAACTTGTTAGTAGACAAAAACGAAAAAGTTGTGTGCAATGATTAAAATCTTCGGATCAAAAATGAATCAAATCTTTTTTGTTATTTTTGATGCATGGGTTTTCATCGATGTTGTCTTTTTTCAATGTACAGCCAACATACTTTTACAGATTTTTATACAAGGGATTGTTTGCTCCTTTTGGAATGTTCTTATGTTTGACGGACCGAATACTAGTAAGTCTAAAATGCTACAATTATTTGATACATTTATACAAGTAAAGAATCCCTTTAAAGTATAAATTGTAAATTCAGGTTTACCCTTTATATATTTGTGTATTTTTTGTGAACGACCCTTTTGAAATGAATGTTGCTCGTTGCTGGATTTTTGGCATAAATTGTTAGCCATTAAGTTACGCGCTGATATATGTAAAACGGTTAAGTTTCTTAAAAATGGCGTCTATTAGATATAATTATATTTGGTTTGGTTTGCACAGATGCCGCGGTGTTTTCTAGCGGCTAAACTCAAGTACCCTTACGTACAGTGGAAGGAGGAGCAGGGCGCTGATCGGAGGGAACAGGAGGACACCAAGGAACAGATGGAGGGGGAACAAAGCATGTCAATATTGGAGACGGAGAGAAAAACATTAAAAGTTCATTTAGATATGATAGAAGAAGAAAAAGAAAATGGTTCTGAGAAAATAGGAAAACTAAAAACGGACATAAACGGCAATTCAAGTTCGGAAGAATGTATCATAAAAGCAAATAGACAAAATACAGAAGAAGAGGTGAAAAGCAAAGAATATTATCAAACCGAGGTTACTGTTGGGTTTATTAAAGAACATCAGAAAAGACTACAAGAAGAAGATTGCCGCCAAATTGAGGGAAAATCGCCCATTCATAGCTCAAGAACAAATTTTGAAGAAGACGCAGAAAAAAATGAAGAAGACGGAATGGTTGAAAAGGGTGTAATAAATGATGATGAACAGATGGACGATAATGAGAATGACGAGGAGAAAGGTGGGATACAATGGCACGAGAAATTATTAGAAACTCCAGTCAAATTAGATTTTAGTATTTAGTATAATTTGTTATTATTGGTGTGATTAATACAATAGTTTGATAACAGAACAGATATGAATAAAATAGGAAATTCATGTACTGCAGTATCTTGGGGAAATATAAACAAAGCATTGTCTAAAAAGCACTGTGTTTGTTTACATTCCTCTCCTACTCTGCAGTACACTTAATTGTACTTCTTTTATGCTGGAAGATATACATAATTATAATGTCATCGGCATCTCACTGCAACAATATAGACTTTCTAAAATCTAATGAAAAATGTATATTTAACACACCAATAATCACAAATAATGATAAAATTCTCTAATTATGTAATGTACTTAGCTCAGAAAATTTTAGGATAGTATCATTGCATAGAAAAGTATAAATCGTTTTTTTTATTTTAACCGGAAACTGAAGAAAATACACTTTTTCGGAATAAAAAGACAGAATGCATGTAATCTTTGATTCATTTATAGATATAACATTAGTAATTTTAGTTTTCAATCAAACCAAATAAAGAAAAATCATAATTTTATGAAATAAAAAAAGAATCGTTGTAGAATTGTTAGAGAAGATAGTTTAGTTCGACTCTTACTTGATCACTCAGCAAAAATATACAGTATCATTATCATCATCATTATCATTGTCATCATCATTATCATCATCATTACCAGTATTATGATTAAGTGAAATCCTGGAAATGGTTTGGAAAAGTCTGATAAGGTAATTAATTAATACAGAAATGCATGAATTTTATAGAATTTCAGCATGTTGAAATAGAGACGTATAAATTGTGCAGTGTGCATGATATTTATAACCTTTATATTTATATTCGTGGAGTATTTCCAATAGATCCTGCCATTTTTTTTATCAAACTAGGCTTTTAGGACGCTTCGCATCCATCTTCTATTTCATCTGTGAGCATCTTCTCCAATATCAAAAAACGAAAACAAAAAAGCGAGCGTATTTAATAATATTTTTTTGCGGATTTTCAAATTTTTACAAAATCAAAATTTTTGGAGACAAATTTGAAAATTCTGAGCCTTCCCTGGGAGTGGGACTTTTCTGTTCAGTCGTTTATCGGTTACAAACAAACAAACAAACAAATAGATAAGCAAAGTATATAGATATAGATAACATTTCAAAACGTTTCTTTAAAAAAGAACTAAAAAAATTCACAAAATTAAAAATGAGTTAATTTATCTACCTAATATTACTGTTCTTGAATTATAGATTGTATACTTGTATACTATCAACAGTCAATTGTTTCAGATGAACGGGTTTGCGATTATGCCTCGTATATTTCCCGCCATGAGGGATCAGCTGATCGGCTTGATTCCAGCCAACCAAACCAAACAAAACCAGCAAACAAGCTATTTCGGCCATATTGCCTGGACGATCCCCCGGAGCAGAAGCCGCCCCTAGGAGAATATTTAACCCCGAACTCCTGGTGGTTTCCTCCTAGACCTATTTCTCCTTTAGATCTAACCAAACAGGAAAATGAAAAGATTCAGTTCAAGGAAAGGTCGCCATCGTGAAAACATTTTCATCCATTTAAAAAGAAAGTATATTTTTAATTCGACAACGGTAACCAATTTAAACCTTTATTTTACTTCGTTTTCCATTAAAAAGTTTGTAAATCTTAGCAAGAAATCCTCAAGTCACAATTATATAAAGAAACACAATTAGAAATTAGCAATTTTTTAAAGATAATTAAGGATATCTCATTAGTTTTAGATCAAAGAGAGCTTTGAGGATTGATACCTTTTTGAATCTGGCATGTCCCTCTTAAATTAGAAGGTTACTTGAAATGTGCTTTTTTCTTTAATCAAGTAAAATCAATTAACATGAACTTTATAGCAAAAAAATTGTTTTAAAAAGTTAGATTCGAAACATTATTTCTGGAGTTAAAGGAAATCTTTAAAAAATTATCAAAATGGCAACTTTTGAACCAGGTTGAAACGGAGTTTATTAACGGCGGCGCTGTTTACAAAATAAATGGCGGGAAAACCACTGCTTACACTTATGAAGCTTTCTTTGCCAGCGATGGTCGATCCAAGAAGAAACTGTTTGATTTTGAGCAGATTAAACCCAAGTATAAATGTAATGAATGTGGCAAAAACTACGCAACTAGCAGTAATTTATCCAGACACAAACAAACCCATAAAACTTTAGACTCGGAGAATGCCAAAAAATGCAACATTTGCGGCAAAATGTACGTTAGTATGCCAGCTCTTTCAATGCACATTCTCACACACAATCTAAGCCACCGATGTGATATGTGTGGTAAAGCATTTTCCCGACCTTGGCTTCTGCAAGGACACATGAGAAGTCACACTGGAGATAAACCCTTCGGTTGTGCGCATTGTGGCAAAAGTTTCGCGGACAGATCCAACCTAAGAGCACACATGCAAACCCACTCAGCTTTCAAGAATTATAAATGCAAGAGATGCAACAAATCCTTTGCTCTCAAATCCTATTTAAACAAGCATTATGAGTCTGCTTGTTTTAAAGACCAGGCACCGCCTTCCATAGAAACGCCACCCTCCACGCCCTCCCCCTCCGAGTTCTCGGATTCAGGTCCCCTCTCTCCTTATCCAGACTCGGAGCTATCAGATCTCACTCATCCAAACCTAACTTCTCCTCATCCCAACCATGATTTGTCTCATCCAAACCCCGAATCTTCTCATTCAAGCCCACAGTCTTCTCATGAGAACCCTGATACTGTTTATCCGACTCATCCTGAGCAGGATGAAAATGAGCATATTATTCATGTGCCCAAACCTGTATTTCCCTTCAACAGTCAGTTAATAAGAGTTTAGACTCTTTTTCTCTCCGTTTACGATTTAGATCTTTTGCAACACTTTGGATGCTTACTGGTGGGGGAAGGGGGGGAGGCTATTGGATTGTGTCCCACCTGGAAAGATAAAAAGGTTTAACGTCTTCTCCTTGTATACGCCACTGTTAATCAATATTTATTGTCTTGACAAGTTTAAAAGTTAGGATCACAGATTTAAACTATACTTCAAATCAGGGCTTTAATTTTAAACCTAACTTGATTTCTGGAATGTAAATAAAGCCTTCGTCAACGTTTGGTCAAAGAAAGGTCAATGATTTGTCAATAATGTTTTTCATTAATGATTGGTTATTGTCAACGACTTTGTTATGATTGGCAATGTTTGGTCAATGATTGGTCAATGATTACTTAATGCTTGCTCAGTGATTGCTCAAGGATTGGCCAATTGGACAAAGCCTCTGCATTTTTAATTTTTTCATTGATCGTTATGAATTCTGATCCTAATTTTTCTTTGAAGTTTGGGATCTGTCAAGGTTCATATTTGATAGTTTTTCAGACCATATGTGTTGCAAGAGGTTTTTATCACTTCTTCTTTTTTATAATTTTTTGAAAATATCGTCACTTTTAATCTATGCAAGGTTTTATTGTAAAAATCTTTACATTACGCAATGTGAACCATTTAAATATTTCTATTGCCAAATTATATTAATATACTTGTCTTTATGAAACATTTTATATAATACATTTATTAAACATTTTTAATAAAATTCTCAAAAATCTAAGAAAATTGAAAAACGAACTTTGTAAAATAAAAACTAGTGTTGATTTTAAAAAGAATTGAATTGACTCTTAATTATATTCGTTAAGGTATGATTAGGCTTTTTATTATAATTTATTTACTTCAGAAATTGGAGAAAAAAATTGCAAAAAATCTAACTCACAAAAGACTCCCATTATTTACTTTCCCAGCAGTTATATAATAAGATTAAACACTGAACAGATTCTTAGACATCTTAATTTTTGACATAATTCTAAAATTATGTTGTCAATGAACCAAGGTTGTGAAATTTAAAACCTTGTTTATATCAATTTATGCAATTTTTAAACTTTGTTAGTTTTTGCTCATCATACAACGTTTTTGCGTAGAAATTAGCAATAATATGGCATTCAAACCTTGAATTATTTAAACTCAACGTTTTTCAATCGTATTTAAGAATATTTCAAATTTCTTGTTTGAGTTTAAAGTTTCCAGGTTTGGTGTAAAATATCTCGTGATTCCATAATATATGCATCGAATTCAAATATTGAAGGGTATTGTAAGCAATAAAAATGAAGAATTAGACTTTTAGCAATAATTAACTGTCTAGCAATATATTCTTCCTGTAAATATGCAATATAGTCGATAAGAAAAGCAATATTTTATTACTCTAGCAATAATTCGTAGCAATTTGGCAATTTTGTGAATTTGTAAAAATTAAAATAAATTCGAGGTTTATAATAAATTATATTTTGTATTTGTGAAAACAGTTTCTAAGAGAGAGAAAGATTTTTTACATAACTCTTTTATTATAAAAAAAAAACAAATCTTAAAACCAACACAAAAAAAACTAAAAAAAGGTTATTATGTGAAAGCTATAAAGAAACGTTTGAAACAGTAAACAGTCGAGATAATCACACTGTAGCCAGCACAGTGAGCTAAAATATTATAAAACACCCTGTATCCAGCGCAGTAAGCTAAAATATTATAAAACACCTTGTATCCAGCACAGTGAGTTAAAAGAGTATAAAACACCCTCTACCCAGCACAGTGAGCTAAAATATTATAAAACACCCTGTATCTAGCACAGTGAGTTAAAAGAGTATAAACACTCTGTACCCAGCACAATAAGTTTGAAAGTGTATAAAAGACCCTGTTCCCAGCACAGTGAGTTAAAAGAGTATAAAACACCGTGTATCTAGCACAGTTAGTTAGAAAGAGTATAAAACACCCTGTATCCAGCACAGTGAGTTAGAAAGAGTATAAAACACCCTGTATCCAGCACAGTTAGTTAGAAAGAGTATAAAACACCCTATATATAGTACAGTGAGTTAGAAAGGATATAAAACACCCTTTATCTAGCACAGTGAGTTAGAAAGAGTATTAAACACCTTGTATCCAGCACAGTGAGTTAGAAAGAGTATAAAACACCCTGTATCCAGCACAGTGAGTTAGAAAGAGTATAAAACACACTACATCCAGCACAGTGAGTTAGAAAGAGTATAAAACCCCCTGTATCCGGCACAGTGACTTAGAAAGAGTATAAAACACCCTGTACCCAGCACAGTGAGTTAGAAAGAGTTTAAAACACCCTGTAGCCAGCACTGTGAGTTAGAAAGAGTATAAAACACCCTGTACCCAGCACAGTGAGTTAGAAAGAGTATAAAACACCCTGTAGCCAGCACTGTGAGTTAGAAAGAGTAAAAAACACCCTGTAGCCAGCACTGTGAGTTAGAAATAGTATAAAACACCCTGTACCCAGCACAGTGAGTTAGAAAGAGTATAAAACACCCTGTATCCAGCACAGTGAGTTAGCAAGAGTAAAAAACAACCTGTATCCAGCACAGTAAGTTAGAAAACTAGGAGAACTAAGTATTGCATTGCCTTTGTTATATTCCCTCAGAAGCTGGTGGGAGTCGTTTTTAACAAAAAGAAAGTTTCAAACTTTAAAAACTTTTCTTAAGCCTTAAAGAAGAAAAGAAAAGGAGAAGAGAGGGATCGGAGAGAGTTTGAAATATGGTGTTTAGGGAAGAGAACACGGATAAAAGGAAAAAGATAAAAAAGATTAGAATGCGGATCAAGACGAAAGATCAAATTAAAAAGAAATAAGACGAAATTAGAAAGCTTATGATATTCCGGAAAAAAAGTAAAAGAAAAAGAAGATTAAGGACAAAGAAGAAAAGAGAAAAAAGGGAAAAAGGACCGAAAACTAATATATTTCTTTAGTTTAGATTAGAATTGGGCCCTTAACCCTATCCCTGCTGGGGTACTTGAAAACCAGGATACGCTGGGCCGGGGGGGGGG